GTAGCAAAAGGCATTTCTAGGGGATGGCAATGCTCCCTGCTGTGCTTCACACATGCTGGCTCCTGGGCTGAGGACGAAGACAGCACTGGCAGCCCTGGGTAGTGATGCCAGGGCCTGGCACACTCAGCTGTGGGATGGAGCCGAGATGGTTGGGCTGGAGCAACTCTGGACATGCTTGGGAGCAGGATAACAGCCTGCGGAGGCTGAGATCCCAACCAGGAGGCAGCAGGCAAGTTGAGGCACCTCCGGGGCCAGGCAGCAGCTGAACGAGAGTTGCAGTTTTCAACTGAGGTGGCCAAATTCTGCCAAAATCTTGTTTAACATGCCTGTTGCATTTGCAGGTTTTCTTTCCTTTGTCAGAGTGGCAGCCTTTAATCTTGGTGGCTTGCATTCCTTTTGTAAAGTGGAGTTATGAATGTTCAGCCCCATTTAGAAGATCCCTGATATATCTGAGTGAATGTTCCTGCAGACAACCACAGTATTCAAGATACAGCATGGTGTACTCTGCCTGGTTCTCACATCAGTTTCCAAGCTGAATCCATGTACCTAAGGGCTGAGATGTCTGTTGGTGAGGTTGTAGAGTTTGGTGGCTTTTTTCAGGGATGTTTTAATTGTTCAGGAAGTGCTGGGGATGGAGGGTGGCTGTAAAACCGTGTTAACCCTGATGGGTATGGCATGACCAGGCTGGGGTGTTCACACATCCCCTCACCTCCAGCATTCAGCACCACACAAGTTTACTGCTCAAGGATGGGCACAGAACCAGTATTTTAGGATTAGTTATAGTTGCACACAGCTGTCATGTATTTGCCAATATTATTCTGAGTGGCTGAATTCAAGTGCTTTAATCCTTTTGGTTAATGGGAAGAAAAGCGGATGGCACTAGCTATGTCTGTCTCATGGATCACTGTCTGATCCTGCACTCCTTAATGCCCACGTCAAGGCTCTCTTCTGCCTCTGGCACTTCTCCTCCAGCCCCTGTTCCCCATTTTGTTCCTAACGTTTTGTTTTCCTGGCTCCTATGCTACTTGCCTGTTGTTCACTGTGGCTGTTCTTCCCAGGAGTGCCACAAAACAAGTCCACCTCTCCTAGCCCCACTGTCCCCCACTCAGGGCTCCCAGACTGAGGCTGCTGAGGCTGCTTCAATTCCAGGACCAAGCTCCGTGCCATGAGAACACAGAGCCACGTTCTTAGGCTGATGTAAACTGGTGAAGCTCCATTGATGTTGGTCTACCTTATACAAGCTCAAAATACAGATGAGAGTAAGTGAATAATTCTACTGAAATATAGCCAGTGCTGAAGCATACCTGTTCTGTGGGGATACTGAGAAGTGAAAGACATTTCCACCCCTTTCTGGCTGATGATCCACAGCTGAGTGCAGAAGAAAAGCTGCGGTGTAATGCATGAGTTAGTTTACCCTCTTTAAAATGTCACCAATTCTGTGGAGAGATGCAGCAGCAGTTTAGCAGCATGTAGCCCATGTGGCAGAGGTGCTCCTGTTATTTATATGGCTCCATAAGTGAACTCAATGCAGTCTATCTTCCAGCATTTCAATGCAGCTCACTCCTGAGCAGGGCAGCACCAGGCTGCAACCAGCCTGGCAGTGTTGCAGGGAAAACCCCAACTGCTCCCAGGCCTACAAGGGGACAGTGCAGTGTCCCCCCAGGGCCACAAATGCTTGGCAGAGCAGCAGAAAAGAGATGGATTAAGTGCCAGGAGAGGGAAGAGGTTTCCCTCAGTGTTCTATCCCTTTAATGTCTCTCTCCTTCCTGTCCACTATGGTTCTGCAAAAAGCGTCCAAAGAGCAAAGCTTACCTTTCCTTATGCTTTCTTGCAGGAAAGGTGAGGAAAAGAAAAAATGTTCCATCTTGCAGCTTTGGATGTAAGGCACGGAGGTTAAAGGGTGGATCTGAAGCAGGTTTAGGCCTACGTAGCCAGAAATGCTCCGGGACAGGTTCCCTTGAGGGGGAGCAGAAGGAGAAGGGGCTGACCAGCTCTCTCAGGAGGGATTTGCTTTGCTGCAGTGAGGTGCTATCCAGGGCAGTCACTATTCTGTACCTGGAATTGAATTAACATTGTTCAGATTCCTCTGGTTTCAAGGGGTTGCAACATCTGTGACATCTTCTGCTTTTTTTTTATTATTATTATTTTTATTTTAAATATTCCCTCCTTTCTTAGGGGGGAGCCGAGTTTGCAGGTTCCAGGTGCAAACTTCTCACATGGTTGGGGGTAAAGACTGGGGCTGCAGGACTGTGGGCTGTGCTCTCCACCCTGAAGGGAGCGGAAAGGCCAGGTTGTTGGGCAGATGAGGTGGAGCAAGAGGCTTTTCCCAGAGTTGTTCTTGTATGCAGTCGTGGGGTTTTCCCAATGGGAAACACATCAGCAGCAACTAACTGCTGGGGTGGGAGTGAGCACTGCCTGCGCTACAAAGCTGCACCCTGGAAAGCAGTGCCTTGACCTGAAAGTGGAGTTTATTAACTCCAGATTTTTACAGCATAGCTGGCACGCCAACAACACTGTCTGAACGCAATGAATCTCTTGCAGATATAAACTAGGGGAACGCATCTCCAGCGCTGCGCCAGCCTGAGTCACGCGCGGCTGTTGTGCCAACTGCCAGCTGCTGAGCAGCAGCAAGCTCTTGGCTGTGCAACAGGCACTGCACACAGGGGCTCTCACTGGCTGCCTGACGAGCACAGCCAGATGGCAGCTGATTTGCTGAACACAGAGCACAGGTGCCTTGAACAGCAGACTTGCCTGTTACTTAAAAGGAAAGAGATTGCCTGGGGCTAATTGGTTGCTCAGCAGGAGGAGAAGGAGCTACAGGTCCTGCTTAGCTGCAGAGATGCCTTAGAGGACAGCTGTGGGATTTACCTCTGCTGAAGGAAGTAGGGCAATAGCTATCACTGCCCTAACCATCATGACCCTTTTCCTGCTCTGAGATGTCTAGAAATACATTTGCTGTGATATGTCTACAGCAGATAGAAAGGCCGGGAAGGCTACCTCCCACTGCTGCTTGCTGCTGTCTTCCAGCACTAGGCTCTACGTACTAGGCTCTACACCTGCATGCCCACAGCATCATCTGTCTGCAGGAGAGGACCAGGGACTCAGCACCTCTTGTGTTGCTGCAGCAGGCTTCCACTCGCTCTGCAGGTTGAGGGCTTGAAGCCCCACTAGCCATAGTAGAGGTCTTTTATAATGTGTCCATAGGAAAGGCTCAGGAGGGAGTTGGATGCAGCAAGAGCAGCTGGCAGAATGGAGAAAGCAGGAAACCCTCTTGCTGTGTTCCTTCTGTTGAATATAATGTCTCCCCTGCAAATACTGCTGGAGATCCTTAGCATGTGCAGGAGGTTGGGGAGGTGAGTGAGTTAGTCCTGTCTCTTTTAAACAAGAGAACAGCTATGCGGCAGAATTTAGGTCAGATTGGAAACCAGAACTCTGAAAATAAACTTTTCTCCCCGCAAATGGTTCTGCAAAAGCCTCGTACTCAGGTAAAGCTTTATAACTGTTGAGCACTGAACAAAATTCAGCTGCTTCTAGGTATGGTAGGAATTGCTGGCTGAACGTTTTGTGCTACTGATGTGTGTCCTGAACTTTTTTTTTTTCTTAAGTAACTGTTCATTTTGACCCTTCCGATTTCACTCTGAGCAATGAACTTTTAATGGGGGCATGTTCCTGTTTGCCCCAAACCTGCAGACCGCAGTGTTTGTTTTTGACTGGAACTTTGTTGGCATTTCTGCCGAGCAAATACAGTTATCAAATGTATTCAGATCTTAAAATTCAAGTGAGAGCAGCTTATGTGGGTGCAGGGATGTGCATAGCAGAGAGAGGTGGAATAGAAGTTTGATTATTTTTCTTGCTTTTGTGTTGCAGGACAAACCTTCCAGAAAAATGAAGGTTTTGCCACATGTTTCCCATAACCAGCCAAATAAAATATTATGTTTTAAAGCATTCAAGGTCAGAGGAATAACTTGGGCTCAGCAATTTTTTCCTCCTCGCAATAGCTTCTGCTGAATGTGATCTTTAAAACTATGCATGCGGGGGGCCAGATCCTGACCCCCACTACATCTGCTCTGCATTGCTGCTGAAAATGCAGAGCAGGCAGAAAGCTGGCTTAGCTGGATTGCTGGAGATTACCCTGACCCAGTTTGTCAGCCGCAGGGCAGGAGCCTGAGCGCTGAGGCCAGGGCATGGCAGAAGGAGGGGATCTTGCAGTGACATCCGTGTGTCTGGGGACTCGTTGGGTGGGATTGTGGCTGTCCCCTGTTAGTGTTCCAGCAGTGGGGTGGTCCTTGGCTGCTCTCACAGCAGGGCTCCAGTCATGGGCAGCAGCCAAAACCCTGTGTTCCAGGCTCTGAGTTTTTCTGTAAGGCTTTGACTAGGTTGGCTTCTACAGCCTTTTTTTTTTTTTTTTTGGTTTAAAATTGATTTCTTCTCTTAGCAATAATTTGGCCTTGGCTGATTTATAAAATGTCTGCACGATTTAATAAAACGTCTGTACTGAGTTCACCTGTGATCATCCGCCTCTGGAATTCCAATTCTGCCTGTTCTGTTTTCTCACAAATTGACAGTGCTCTGAGCTTTCCTCAGAGGTGTGGACCCTGAAAGAGAGCACAAGGAGGAAATCTCAGTTTTCATTACAATGTAATATTATAAAACATGCTTCTTTCTTTTGTAATAATGGAGAAAAGATTGAAAACATGACCTGAATATATTCTTCAGGCTCAGTAACTGGAAAGCAATGAATAAAGAACCAGAAATTCACTGAGTTCTTCGTTTGCTTGGGTTTTTAAACTAGCATCAAGATTTTGGAGGCCTCATTTTCAGATTTATCATTTGAAACAAGCACTGCTGGGTCCTACTGAATACTGCAGGGCAGCTGTTCCAGATTGCTGTGCATTTTCCCTGCTCATCAGTCCCTTAACTTGCCCAAGTTCCTTCTGCTTCTAACCCAAACCAATCTCTTCTAGATGTCATTTACTGAAGCTTGGAGAGCCCGTTTATGTGAGGAAACTCCCTTTGAGACTCTTTGGGTTGCTTGTGCTTGCATGACCTGATGGAGCAAAGATGGGAGCATTTCCCAGGAGAGAGATGTCTGGCCCTGTCTGCTCTGGCGCTGGTTGCTGCAAGATATGAGTGGCTTTCACTTCTCAGATGATAAATGGCAGTGTCTGGTAAAATACCAGCCTGCTAGGACCAGAAGGGTGGAAAGGCACTGCCCAGTTAATCACATGGTATGTGATTTCAGGTGGTGGGATGGTACTGTTTCAGAGCACTGGTGTCTGTAAACTCCCCTTCTAGTATGCCCTGCTTTAACCTTACAATCTAGTAGAGCTGATACTTCTCAGCTTTGAGCAGCCAGCCCACCATGTGCTGTTGGTGGCTCCTGGTCAGGTTTTCAAGATGGTGAATGAGGAGAAATGCTGACAGAGATGACTTTTCTCCTCTCTTCACTGTAGAGAGGTACTCTTTGGATGCATTTTAAGATCGTTATGCCAGGATTTTACTGTTTCACCACTAGCCAGTAGCAAAGGGAATTGCATTTTTTCTCCCCTTCCTCTGCAATATTCCTGCAGGTTTTGTGCTGTTCCCTGTCCTTTTTGTGCTTTGTGCTGTGCATCCTGATCAAAGCCCTGCTTGGGGATAATGCCAGACCCTTGTTCCCTCCAGCATCCATCACTCACCTACTGATGCAGGGAGATGTGGCTCCACTCTCCTCACTCCTAAGCATTCCCACTGCTGGCTCTGTTTCTGTACCTTCTGCTTTAAATAAGGACTTATCACAGGTCTGAGCTCATCAATCACACCCAAACTATTTTTTCAAGATTACTTTTATGATGTCTTCCTCCTGTAACTTTTTTCACAGCCCCAGCTCAGTTCTCAACACACAGGCTTTGTTTCTATGTAAGAATGGAACTGATAAAGCAAGAGAAGAGGGGAAATATGGAAAGACAGACCAGCATTGAAATCAAAGTGTGTGTAGGGCACATTTAATGTTATACTACTTGGCCAGAGGATTGCTGGCAAAGATATTGCATTAAATGAAATAAAGGCCATTTACCCTAGAAAGTTAACAGGCATGGGACAGACAAGTAGGAGCCTTTTCATTCTCTTGGGGTTTATTGTGTCCCGCCAGCTGCTGGGGTTGCTTTCCTGCCCACAGCCTGGGTTTGCCCAGTGTTGGCCCCTGGCCTGGCTGGAAGTCCCAGGGGCATCCCATGAGACAGGAGGTTGTGATATGAAACCTCAGATTCTTTGCAGACACATTGAGGTGCCTGAAAGTGCAGAGTGGCACTTCTTAAAGGACACTAAGTTGTAGGGAGAGAGGAGGAAAGTGCCCAGCTTGGGGATTGGGTTTGACCCACCTGGAGACTTTGAGAACTCCCCTCTCCCTTCTTCCCTTCTAGGACTCCTAAATGTTGGAAAAATCTGCTCCAGAGTAATTATCACTTCAGTTGAGCATTTCTGCCTGCCCAGCATTGAGAAAGGAGTCTCAGCAAAGTCCTGTGTTGCCATGTGAAACTGCTGCCATAGCATGCCGTTACATCATGAGGGATGCATGAGTCCTGGGAAGACAAATTACTCCTCCAGCTGCGTGTCTCAAGCTGATGTTGCTTTGCAGTGGGGCTGTCAATAGCAGCTGGGGAGCCTTGATCCTGGGGAAAGATATGTTGGTTACTTGGGTTGGTTTTAACTGTTTAATGCTTTGTTGGCAGCCTGATGTGTTACAACACAGCTTGAAGATGAGATGGGACACTGTCTTGGAGCTTGCGGTCTGTCTGGGCCCAGGAAAATGGGTACGTTTGCAGTGTTGTTTGAAAGCTGCACCGACCTGTAAGTCACTGTATTATTTACATAATTTTGTCTTTCTCTTTTACATCTGTATTTTAAACATCCGTTATGAGGCAGTACTGTTTTTAGTGGTGAGCCAACTTTTTCTTCTAAAACACATGTTCCCTAAAGCCTTAGTGCTTTATTTCCTTTGTTCTGATTTATTGCTGTTGCCTTACCACATGTGCTAGGCACAGACAAGAAAAACTTCCCAAACCAACATAGCAGCCCTCTCTACTCTCTTTCCCAGACCATATACATCAGGATTAACACACTGAGTCTATTATATCAAGTGATTCAACAGTGAACTAATTTACCTTTAATTTCTTGGCTGCTTCCAAGTAGAAATGCTGATGGAGAGTATCTGTAGGTTAATCGTGTGCAGATTCAGCTAAAGCCCAAAGAAAGTTGCTGTAGGAAACAGAAAGTTGGGATATAAGCTAAATCTGGAGGAAGAACAAGATTTAAAAAAAATAAAAATAAAAAATTAGGTTGACTGCATTTGTAAATCTAACAAAGGATTTTGTGAGTATCAGTTTTTATTTTTCTTCAGTCAGGACCCGAAATGGCCATCTCAAAAAATGAACCCTCTTCCATGAAAGACTCTATGATATCTCAGGGTAACCTTCAAGCAGTAGCAGTTGCTGATCGCTTGATCACTTGAAGAAATGTGGAGGTGCTTGGGATAGATAAATTGATAAATTCTAATGAAGGTGGCTTTCCTGGAGGTTGTTCAGTCTTGACGAAAGCAAAGGGCTACATTATTTTCACTGATGTTTATACTGAAGAGAGCATCGCCTTTTCTTCCTTGTTACAATTGCGAAGATTAGCCTGGTGGAAGGGCAACACAAAAATGTAACAGAGGATTTGAGCGGCTTGCAAATAGGTAACTGCCACCAAACTCAACAACACGGGGATGAAGCCCCTGTCTTCCACAGGCAGATATTTGTGTTTGCGCTGGCTGTGCTAGCAGAGTGCTAGCATACTTTTCCCTCCACGGACACCATTGGGTTTAGCAAAATCAAATTGACATTCCTCATCTTTTCCTAGTGGGGAAACAGATTGTGTCTCAGTGCTTTGTGAGTACAAAGGTCCAATGGAACTGCATGATTGCAAGGGAAGGGATATCCTGGCAGAGAGGGAACGCTATTAATATTTATCTTCTTAATATTTTCTTTCTTTCTGTAAACCAACCCAAAAGCAGATTGTGCTGTCAGGTATCCTCTCACTTATCGCTGTTCAAGCTGCTTTTCCTTGCTCATTTTCTCCCTTTGAGGCATGCTATTGATGTGAAATTTGTTGTCATATTCAGGCCTGTTAACTGTGCTAGTTAACAAAGGAAAGCATTCAAAAGCTGGCTTAGAGAGATTTTTTCCCCTCCTTTTTAAATGGAAACCAGCTTCCCTAGCAAACCCTAGCAAAATATTAAAGAATCTGCTCCCTTGAAACCAGTATGAGGCAACAGCAGCAGTTGCAGCTCATTGCAACATCTTGTCTTGCTAGATGGAGGCACACTGTGTTACAAGTGGGGTTGCTAACAAAACTTCAGTGTAGGAGCCCTTCTGTGATCTGTCTGGTTGGGATCTGCAAACTTGTCTGAGCTGAGCTGAGGACCCAATTTTGCTTGGTTTTCATCACAATTATCTTTCCAGCTGTAACACCAACTGTAACAGTACCAAAGTCCAGTGAACAACTGGAACCAATATGGCATGTGAGAGCTTTGGAGGCATTTTCAAGGAGAGAACATTGTTTTTGGGCGGGAGAAAGTCAAACCCCACTTGCCTAGTTTAAACTATTCACGAGAAGATCTTTCTCAGAAAGATTTAAAAGCATGGAGCCCTTTTTTGTTTTCTTAGAAAACAGGAAATGAGTTTCAGCTATGCTGTTAGCTGATTTCTTAGGTAACTTACTTCCTATGATAACTTTTGGGGTCTGGAATGTACAGAAATTATCTGAAGGCATTTTCAACACTTCAAAATTAAGCTCAAATTGTTGAAATTGTGCCAGCATTTAAATGAAAATTATTTTCTCTAAACAAACACTTGAAAACTTTTGTACTTTTTTTTTTAATCGCAAGCACATTCTTAACTCAGACACCTTTGCTCTGTGGTTTCTGGAGTATTCAGCTTGCACTGCTAAAACCAGATGTGCTAAGGATGTAATTGAACTCTAGATCTTTGGGTAAAGACTAGATGAGCCAGAAGGGCTAGTTTTTTGCCCAGCACAGAGACATAAGTAGGTGTAACAGCAAATACCATTCCTGCCTCTGTGCTCTGAGATGTCTGGGCAGCAGTACTGGTGCAGATTTCTGCTCTGCAGAGAGGGTTGAAGCATGCGGCCAAGCAACCAGGTCCTATGCAGCTCATGGCTGGAGATGGGATCTGGCCAGGATGTTTGCTGCCATGCAGGTGTTCTGATATTCAGGGGCTCCCCTTGGAGAGCCATTGCTGTCCTCTGGTGGGCTTTCAGCCCTGCTAGGGTAGGGCTGCACTGCTGCCCCAGGCAGAAGTTTGGTTGCAATTGCTGGGCTGGTAGCTGGCCGCAGGAATGAAAAATTAATCTAATGTCTATAAAAGAAGTGGCTGAGAGTTTCTGTCATTTCTTATGTTGAGTTGAGAGAAGAATCAGAGAATATCCTGAGTTAGAGGGAACCTCCCCTGACTCAGCTCCATGCTGTCGCTGTCACACAGAGCAGAGCTCAGCGCTGCCCTCTGCTCCCTGTGAGGAGCTGCAGCCACTGTCAGGCCTCCCCTCAGCTCCTCTGCTCTGGGGGGAGAAGAAGGGAAACACACCTAGGTAAAGGAGGCTGACCTGGTAAATGCCAACTGAGGATGATTTAACAGATATCATCTTGTCCATGTGTAGTGAATGAAGGAACCTGTGAATGGTCTCCTCGGCAGCATGTTACTTGCTGTTACTAACTGCAGGTCTGGTGGGTTAGCATAACCGGTCCTTCCCCAGACATGAGATGCTGCTCAGCCACAGGTCAGCAGTCTGTGCTGGTGTCAGGGCAGGAAGCTAGCTCTGTCGGTGTGCTCTCAGGGGGGCAGAGCAGAAAGCTTCCTTGCTGGGAGTTGGGTGGCTGTTCATCTTTCAGATGCCATTAGTTCTACTCACGCCATTAGCAAACACTTCTACCAAGTGCTGCTGTTCCTTTGCTGTGAAGGACATGTAAATGCAAGGGACCGTGCAGTGTCTGAGATCTCGAGATTCTGACACAGTCCTCCTATTGGATGCTGTATAATTATCTTCAATTTAACACATTGAAGGAGGCTGCTCATAAGATCAATTCCATGTTTAAAAAAAGAAAAAAAGTTCCCTATTCCTGCAATAACTATTTACAATAGCAGTAAAAAGGGAAATGTTACAAGTTTAAGTAACCTTAAATCTAAAGTGATCTAAAGAAGCTACAAACTAAACAGGGCTGCATGAAACCCTATGGACGTGGCAATCCTTCAGATGGATGGAATGCTCTTTTCCAATACGTATTGCCACAGGTTGTGAAGGTAATGCTGTTCCTCTCAGCTTGCTTCTGCCTACCTATCCAGGCCAGGATCAAACTGTAAATGTAGAAATATGAGAGGAGATAGGATAACCCAGAAGCTTATGCTGGCTTGGAAAAGGACGTGGAGCACATCCAAATAAGAGTAGTCTGGAAAGAGTTTGTGATGGTCTGTTATTTCATTATTAGCTAAGCGATGTGAGGTTTCCTTTTTAGATGAGCGCATTTCATCTGTTGCATAACATGGCAATTACTCCTTGAGAGATGCAGCAGTTCTGCTAATTTAATGAGTTAGCCTTGCAAATTAACTTACATCCGCCATTGGAAAGGCCTTTTTCAAGTCCCACAAGCATGTTTTAGACCTCTTGATACAGCTAGTAGCATGCTAGTCTTTCACAAGCAGAAAGGCCTTCAAAAGTATGCAAGTTATTGCTGGCATGTTGTATTCTTGACATGCCAAGGAAACGTGGGTTATTTTCACACAAACAGGCCAATCAAAATGGTTCCTTAGCAAGCTCTGTAAGAACTCCTGGGCCCTGAGAAAGTAAAAGGCATAAGAAAATCACTGCTCCTGAATTAATTTTCCTAGATGGATTGTGCTGTCACACACAGCAGTGTGTGTGGGTAGTTCATTTGCACTGGCTAAGACCTCTGATAAATTAAGGGATAGTAAAGGATGAAAAGGAAAGAAAAAAAAACACAAAAACATGAGGGCTAGGAGATAATTTAGACATTTGATCTTTTAAGTATTTATCATCAAATGCAGACTTTGACAAACTGCAGACACTTTTGGAAGTTCTTTTTATGAGCTGTTAATTGGCAGGTGAATGTAGGTGTTGAGAGGAAAGGGAGCTCTGCTGAAAGCCTGGGGCGGTGCTGAAGCAAGGTGACTGGAGTGTCCTCAAATCTCCTGACACTGCAACAAACAGGTTGAGCTCTACATCTACCAATGTTGGAGGCTGTTTTGAAACTCCCTATTAAGGACTATGCATGCTGACTGCAGTATCTAGGCAAAGGCAATTGGGTATCACAGCTGTGGCCTCAGCTCAGTGTTTCTTTCTGAGCTGGTGTTACTGTGTAGGGTTCTTATTATGTATTAGGTTACCAAAACCAAATTATGACACCCACCAAGGCTGAGTCCTGTGATTAATGTTAAAAAAGTAGAGCCTGATCTTGGCTAGCACTTTTCTTTTGCAGTGTAGGAAAACATTCTTCCACATAGCCAAGGGGATTTTTGACAGCAAAGAGATGGAAAGCAGACATAAACATTGATACTTTCTGCACACCTGCATTCTTAGCTGCTCCTTCAGGTGGTATTTTTACAGGTTTGGTACCCATGCCAAATTTGGTTGTGCTTGCTGCTTGGGCTTAGAGGGGACACAGCCACCTACTTCCAGCTTTGTTTTGGCCCCACTAGTCATTAAGGCTTTCGTAGATTAATGTGAACAATTACTGATAACTGTGTTTTTTCTCAGGGTGAGAGTAGTTCTTTTGGAAATACTTCTTCGTAGGAGAAACATCAGGGAAGAGGCTACTTCTGTGCCATCGAGCTCCCCTACAATTCCCTACAATCAGCTATGTTGATGGCTAGTGCAACACAGTCATAGAGACAGAGCTCTGTCTTGGACACAAACCACTGACACAAAAGCTCACACTTCCTTCCCTTTTTCTTTTTTAACCTTACATTTAAAAATTGTCCTTTTCTCTCCTTTGGTGAGCAGCAAGAAGGAGCCCTGATTGTGGTGCCGGCACAACAGCAGATGGCAGGGGAGCAAATCGAGGCAAGCACCTCTGATGCACATGTGGACAGCTGATACTGCCGTTTCCAATTCTTATCCTGATTCACTACTGCTGAGAATGTGAGCTAAGTTTTCTTTTTCTTTCCAAAAAGAACATTTGGCAGGGTAACGTTCAGCATCACAAGCTGGCCTTGAGATGGGGTTTGCTCCAGCTTCCCTGCTGAGCCTCTGCGCACAGCTTGCTTCTAAAACATGGCTCAGGCGCTGCTAGTTGCTGTGCTGTCACAGGGGCTGATCCAGCACAGAACCTGCTTGGCATTCTTGCAGAGAAATTACCCAGTGCAGCAGCTCACAATTTATAATTGATTGCATATTAATATCCAAAAAAGGCAATAAAATCCACTCTGTGTTTTTACAAAAGGAAAAAAAAAAAGTACTACAAGCCGAGCAGCAAAAATGTGGAGAACTCCTTGGCTGGCGCAGAGCTGTGCACACTGCTGCTTCTCCCTTAATTACAAGCAGTTTAAAATCATCTCCTTCCTTCAAAGGAGGATTTTGCTTGGTGTTTGCATTAGTTTTAATCTCACGAACGCCATGCTCTCTTGGAACGTGTCCCTCATGCTGTAACAGCAAGACATGCTGCCGCTTTTGTCCCTGCCACTTGGGAAAGGCGCAGCTCCTGCTGCTTGTCCCTGCGGCCATGGGGCTGTTGATATCAATACACCACCCTTTAAAGGGAAAGAAAACAGAACAAAACCCAACAGCAGCTTTTTTTTTCCCCGCAAAGAGTCCCCTTTTATTTGTTGTGTTCGAGCCAGGCTGTGCAAGTGATTCCTGAAAATGGGTGATTTAAAATGTACTGCACTGCATTGTAGAGGAAAGCTTGTTATTCAGCATACTAATTATTTCTGACTCCCTGTATTTATGAAATGCCATGTAATAACTAGCTCACCACAATGCAAATAGCACAAAATCAGCGCCTTTTATCATTTTGGCGCTTTAGTGCATAAACATATTCTAAAGTCTCTTGGGGGAAGGGGGAGGAGGGGAGTTATTGGGAATTAAATAATGTTTTTATGACTTCTAAAACATGGCACTGAATTTCATAATCTGTAACACTCCGTGTATGTAGTCCACGTTATGCATTTTATTAAGTCTCAGTGGCTTACACTGCAAAGGTCAGCTGCAAAGAGAAGATGTACAAAGGCTGTTTTGTGGAATGGGGGAGCATCCTTGGGACAAGTTGTAATTTCATACCTACGCCATGCTGGGACACCAGAACTTATCCCCAGCTGCTTTTGCTTCAGGAAGGATGAAAGCTGGGTTACAAAGCATTACTAACTGAGGATTTGTGGCCAGCAAATATCACTAGAGGATGAGTCTGGGGTTTGTCAAGCCCCAAATGAACGACCCGCTACCACCAGAGTAATGCAGAGGTCTGAACATCCACAGATGGTAACTAGGAGCAATTGACGTATGAAGTATGGGCTGCAGCTCCAGGTGAGTTTCTGGGTACTTCCATGTGGTCTCCAGAACAACAGGCAGGTGTTTCCTACAATGTGCAGTTCCATAAAATACTGTCCATAAAACCAGGAGTTACGGGCTTCCTTGTAAGATTGCTTGATACTACAAAGAGTTGTGGATCGTATGCTTTGGTGCTGGGAGAAGTGTCTGCTGACAGTAGTTATCTAGCATCTTGCTGGTAAGAGGCAGCGTGGTCTTGGAGCACATAAACCTTCAGAAAACCTTAAGTGACATTGAAAATTAGAGAAAGCCACAGCTGCTAGTTGCAGTAGATGCTGGGCAACTAAGCATGTTGGTGGGTCTCTCTCACTGTGTGACAGGGACTAGCCTGGCTCGTGGAGCTAGAGTTAGCAGCCTTGGGGAGGCTTAGCAGTGCTTTAGAGCTGCCAGCTCCTTGTGCATGTGCACAAGCCCAGGAAAGGGCCCTGGTGGATCCAGCTGGGTCCTGCTTAGTCTGAATTTACAGCTCTTGGCAGACTTGGGTGACGTGCCATTTCCTCACTGCTTTACCTGTGGGCCTTAAAAACTGCAAGGAGTGTGATGTAGTGTATGTTCTGCTGAAACTGAGGAGTTGATTTTCCCTTTCTATGTTAAGATATTGCTTTTTTTTCTGCATTTCAGAAACAGACTCAGAATCTTCAGGCTCTTTAACCATATCACATTTTCCTAAACAAAAACCTCATGGAAAGTGAGGTTTTGTAAATGATGCAGAAGTGAAGTAATGATATTTATCGTTCCAAACGTGCAACCACTCTGACTTCCTTCTCAAGTGAAAAGAATTGGATCAACAACTGATACTGAGGGAGGAAGGAGGCTTTCACTTCCCCTCAAAACTCCATATTGTATTTTTTTCTCCAGATTATCCTATAAATAAAACTAGTCATTAAGATACAGTGGCTATAATATCCAAGGATAAGAATTTGAGATGCAATGAGAGATGCTCAGGAAATTGATAAGTCTTTAGGAGAAAAAAATCCTTGATATCAATTTCCTGATTCAATACTGAAGTCTTCCTGTCATACGAAAAGTAATATGATTGTCCATGGCTCTAATAAAATCTCGATTTTTCTACCAAGCTTTCATCTATAAAAATCAAATTTATCCAGCATTAGTCTGCATTTTGAAAGAAATAGGTTTTTCTCAATATGATATTAATCCGTTATGATGCATTAATATGGGAGAACAATAATTTGTTGCGTTTTCTTCAAACAGAAATGATCAGCTAGGAGATAGGAATAATAATTGTCTTTGTTCTTCATTGTCACAGGCCATTAGCTAATGAATTTAAGTTGTTCTTGGCTCTTGCTCCAATAAGAAAACTACATTAGAGATCCTGTAGCCTCAATGTTATATAAAACCTTTCTGTGGGTTTTATTTTGGTCTCACTGAGGTGATTCTGCAGTGCACTGAGAAATGCACCATGACTTCGCAGCAAACAATGAGGTCAACATTAACTGATGTAGTGGGTCTAGCAAACAGAAGTCCATCTACAGTTAGTAATGTTGCCACAAGCTACAGCTTCTTCATTTGGTTCCTTCTAGCCAAACAATTCTAGGGGGAATGGCTTTAAACTGGGACAGGGGAGGTTTAGGTTAGATATGAGGAGGAAGTTTTTCACACAGAGGGTGGTGATGCACTGGAACAGGCTGCCCAAGGAGGCTGTGGATGCTCCATCCCTGGAGGCATTCAAGGCCAGGCTGGATGTGGCTCTGGGCAGCCTGGGCTGCTGGTTGGTGACCCTGCACATAGCAGGGGGTAGAAACTAGGTGGTCACTGTGGTCCTTTTCAACCCAGGCCGTTCTATGATTCTAATTTAGCCAGGCTTTTCATGCCTGTTTTTGTGACTGTTTCAGGTTGATCTTTTGGGTGGGAAGATTTGCTTCTTCAACTCTTCTAAGATTGATGGTAGGAAAAATAAGTAACTTCAGCAATGCTTTAAATAAGCAACAGGAGCATATGACTGTAAGTTGTGCCATCCCATCATCTTTGCTGTTTCCCCTGTCAATGAGAAGTCTGACACAAGAAAATCCTGTAGAGGAAGAAATGCTCTTCACTGTCCTGAAGAAATCCACTCACCTCCTGGTCATGGGATCCCATACAATGTATCCCATACAAATGTGCAGCAGAATTTATTTTGCAATCATTCCTTTCCCAACAAAATGATTTTGGTCTGCTGGAAGGCAAGTGCATTTGAAATCACAAAAACTAGAATACAAGTCTTACCCTTCTAATTGATTGTAGCATGTCTTGGCCCACCACGAAGTGTGTGAGAATGTAAACCCCCTACATTTAAAGGTAGGTGATCATCAGTACTCTTTTGTTGCAGAGCTGACTAAGAGGTTGTATAAGATAACCATCGGCAGAGCTGGAAATGGACATGACTTTTGTACCTCGTGTCAAACTGCTTCTCTGCACCATGTTGTCCCTGTGCCTGGCTGGCACCACCACCACTCCTTCTGCAGACCAGAGAACATGGGATGGCCTCTTCCAGCAGCTCCTCCTCTCCCAGCCCTTCTAGGCCCCTTCAGCAAGAGCTGGGTTCTGCCTCTGCCTGGTGGAGCCATAGCCTTGCCAGCTCAGCTTTGGGATGCAAGAGCGCTGTGCTGAAGGCAGGTGCCAGGCAGCAGCCATCATCCATTGCCCTAAACCAGCAGTGCTTAGAGCTTTGCTGACAGAAGCTGATACACACTACAGGTAAATTCAACATGCATGAAAGGACTCTTGTTCTTCTTCAGCATAAAGACAGATCATCAGACAAATTAATCTCTGATAGCTTTCTTTTCAACAGCACTGAGGTGTTATTTTTCTTGGGCTTTGCGAGACGTCCGATTTATCTGTTGTTCCCCTAAACAGACAGATTGGCTTATTTGGATGATACAGGATATTTTATCAGGAAGAAAGGCTGAGATGCCCTCACCGGCCTTTTGCTGTTGTTGTGTATGTCCTTGCTGAGCTCCAGAGCGCTGGGTAGTGATGGAAGGGAAGTATACCTGTGGTGACTGTTTAAGTTTGTTTTTTAATTGTAGCTCTATGGTGTTGTAAAAGCATTCATTCCTTCCGGGCATATAAGATTCCCAAAACTATTCAGAGAAAGAAATCTGAATGTCCCTTCCCAGACTGAGGAGGAAAAACAGCTGACTAGCTCAACCTCCTCCTTCAGCTGGGACTCACTGAGCAGTCTCCCACAGGGACAAATGGTGGGTAAGGCTGTTTGTCCTCCACCAGCCAAACACTGCCGTGATCTGGCAGAATGAGCCCTGCAGCCCATCTTTTGTGAGCTCCGACTTGTTTCTTCCTAACTATGCACTGGACCGCTCACTCCTTAAGTCATCTCGGAGATATCCAAGGTCAGGCTGGACGGGGCTCTGAGCAATCTGATCAAGCTGTAGGTGTCTGTTCATTGCTGGGGTGTTGGACTAGATAAAGGGTCCCTTCCGATTCAAACAATTTTATGATTAGTGCCAGGATGGAAGGGCCAAAGTCCCATTCTGTGCTTTGGAGATCAGCTCTCTGTGTAAGCGCAGAGCACTGCAGGCGTTAGTCAACATTTGCGTATTGTGACTTCAATGCACACAGCGTTAGAAGTGTACAAGGAGATTAACAAAGACTTAAAGTAATACACTCAGTTGAAATAATTTGCAACACTGTTAAATACATGTGGATTGATTTGGACATACTGAAGAGCAGTTTCTGAACCTGAATTACATAGTTTGGATATGGCTGAGATTGTAAAAATGGGAGAAGGCAATTTTACAATCAGTTTTACAACACAGAATCACAGAATTGCTCAGGTTGGAAAAGACCTTCAAGGTCATCAAGTCCAACCCCCTGCTAAAGCAGGTTCTCTTCAATAGATCACACAGGTCAGCATCTAGCTTGGTCTTGAATATCTCCATAGATAGAGACTCCACAACCTCTCTGGTCAGCCTTTACCAGTGCCCCATCACCCTTACTGTAAAGAAGTTATTCTGTGTATTAGTATGGAACTTCAAGTGTTCAAGTTCTAGGATGTGACTCCTTGTTCTGTCACTACATTCCACTGAGAAGAGCCTGGCCTTGTCCACTTGCCTCCCACCTCCCTTTAGGTATTCATAAACATGAATCACATCTCTCTTCAGTCATCTTTTCCCCAGGCTGAGCAGCCTCAGATCTCTCAGCCTTTTCTCATAAAGGAGATGCTCCAGGCCCTGTATCATCTTTATGGCTCTCTGCTGCACTCCTAGGAGACCCTTGTCTTTTTTGAGTAGGGGAGCCCAGGACTGGATACAGTTCAAAAAAGACAGGTTTTCCCTGTGGTGTCTCCAACACCAGGACTAATGCCTGCAAATGCTTGTCCATTTGTGTGTCCTTGCATAGATTAGGTTCATGGTTTCATTTTCATTAACTACAACTTTGCTAATCATAAACCCTCTGCAGGGCTAAGCCATGTCACTGTTTGCATTAGGCCCTAATGTCTTGTTGTATGATGTTCGTTATTCTGGTGTTACAAATTTCCTTTGTCTAGTAGGAGCCTAGGTTTGCATAATAGATAGTCTTGTCACGTCTGCAAGAACTCATAGAATCATTAAGGTTGGAAAAAGCCTCTCAAATCATCATGTCCATCTGCCTTCCTGCCACCAATGTTGCCCATTAACCCACATCTCTCCGTGCCACCTCTCCACGGTTCTTGAGCACCTCCAGGGACGGTGACTCCACCTCCCTGGGCAGCCTGTGCCACTGCCTCACTGCTCTTTTGGAGAAGAGATGTTTCCTAACACCCAACCTGAATCTTCTCTGGTGCCACTTGAGGCCATCACTCCTATCTGACTCTCCTTTCAGACAGTTGTAAGAGTACAATAAGGTCTCCCCTTCCCCAGACTGAACAATCCCAGTTCCCTCAGCTGGTCCCCATCACGCTTGTGCTCCAGACCCATCACAGCTCTGTTGCCCTTCTCTGGCCACATTCCATGGCCTTTGATGTCTTTCTTGTAGTGAGGAGCCCAACACTGAACGCAGCTCTCGAGGTGTGGTCTCAGCAGAGCTGAGTACAGGGGGACCGTCATGCCCCTGGTTTGGATCCTGGTGAGGATTTTCTTGGACGTGTTCTGTGCTGGCCTGTGCCTGGTTAATTCCCCCACTGCAAGGCAGCATACCTCTGTTCCTAGCAGGCTGTGTGGATGACTGATGGTGTAGATCCAAAGTTAACTAGGCGTTCTCTTTAAAGGCGACATACGATATTGTATTTGGACAAAGAGGAATTTCCTGCATAATCTTTGGAGACAGCTGTATTACATTTTTATGATTTCTCTGGTATTTATGCAGAGTTATTGAAATACAGTTAAAAGGCTTAAATTCTTTTCCAGTATGGTATTCTGATTGCGTGTCCAACTACTCGGTTTCTAATAATCAGGATCTCAGATTAAGAAAAGAAATGCATGGGCTCCACAACTGTAACTCCTCGACCCCCTCCATCACTGCACTGGCCATTTCTTTAGGTGCCTCTACGAACCTCCATCTGCAGTTGAACTTGCTTCATCTCAGATTTTCTGCTAGTGCTTTTGGAAAAGGGTCTTTGTTCAGATTCTGCTTTTGTGGAGAAGGAGTCTCACTTTCTCACTTGTGCTGCCGTACCCATCTGAAATATTTTTTTGCAAATCCTTGCTTATCTTGTCTATCACTTGTCTAAAGGCCTTCTCCCTTTCAGCTGTCTTTGCAGAGCGCTGTTGACAGGCTGTGTAAGAAGCAATTAGGTTATGAATAAAGTATATGTTAAAAAAGAAGGCTCAAAGGTGAAAAGAATTTCAGAGAAGACAAAGAGAAGTTATTACAATGAGGAAAAAGCAAACAGTTTCAGAAAATCAAGGTCAGTATTCCTGAAGGGCATCTTAAATTAAATCAACAGCTGAATTATTTGGTAAGAAATGTAGTTTTTTTATTTAAAAACTAACAAAAAAGAAGACAACAAACAAAGAAACTCTTAATCTCATTAATGCTGCAGGATGTCCTAAACAAGCATAATTTTGCTTTGCAAAAAGGCAAGGGAGACCACACAGGAAGGTATTGAAGAACTGGAAAAGGTACAAGAGCATGATGAAAAGATCGAAAGCTGCTATTTATGGACAAAGCACAGACCGCTTTTTTTTTTTTTCTCATTTCCCTTTCTTCCTTTCTTCCTCTCTTTCTCTCTCTCTTTTTTTTTTTTTTTAAGGAAGAAACTGAGGCCACAATGAGGGCACAATCCTAAAGGATACCAAAAGCTGGATGACAAAACTCGTTAACTTGTTCAGACCATTTGCAAGCCAGCCAACACGACTGACTGGAAATAATACTGGGGAATGTTCCTTGAAGAAATCAGTTCTAACCCAGTATTCTGTGTGGCAGAATAAGGCAGTGCTGTCTGCAGTGTGTGGGTCTCCACCATCAACACCCCATCTTTCGTCTTGGCTCCAAGGGCTGAGCTGCTGCAACGTGGCTTCTGCATTCCAGGAATGTGGCTCCTGTCCTTGACCTCATCTGTAGACAAATATGTCGTCTCCCTTACTGCTGAGTGGTTTAGGAAGAATTTCAGCCAGATTGAGGTGGGATAGAGGAATTACAGGTGAGGATGTTTTTCCTCCTCCCTTGCAGAAACACTCTTGGCTTTACCTACAGAACCTCGGGCTGGGCAGGAGAACCTCTGGGAAGTGAAGCTGTTTGCAAAGGCTGTGACATGAAGCCGCCACCCAGGGAATGGGATTTTGGGGCACTCCTTCTGGCCAGAGCACAGCAGGGTCTCACCACATAGCAGCTGTGGGCTGAAGTCAAGCAGGAGAAACACTACACAGGTCAGCAGATCAGGAGGTGAGTATCAGGCTGGCCTGTTGACCTCTGTCCATGCCAGAGTGTTAACAAGTCCAACAGAACACATCCTGTCTTTTTGCTGGTAAGGCAAAATCCAAATTGTGATATTTTTATCCTTAGTGCTACTTCCTCAAGAGCAACACAGAACATGTTGCTTAAGTCTTATACTTTCACTACAGGCTACGATAGCAACAGGACTAGTTCTGCCATGAGGGAGTCACCTTTTCTCAGGTGCCACTTTCAAAGTCAAGTTTTCATTGCACAGAGAAAATGGAGTATTCCACCTTCACCTCCCCTAAAAAAAGTTTTAAGTTAGCAGAGGGAACCTTCAAAACATTTTTCCTTCCAATACAGAATGGCCATTGGTGTCATCAGCTGGTGTGAAAAGACAGCTCAGTGGAGTTGTTCCAGCAAAAAAAAAAGAAACAAAGGAAGAAGAGAGGATTAAAAAACTGGTTCCATTGCTGCATACATTTTGTGTTGTGGTGAAATAAAGCAAAGAGCCATCAGGCTCCTACGCTTCAACAGAACCCAGTGAGCATCATGTATTGCAGAACTGAATTTTAAGGCACTGCAAATCAATCAGTCAGCAACAACACATTGAGGATCGGGATGGTGCTTTGCTCAGATCTGGGGAAGTCTGTGCAAATGGTCCACTACCTTTGTTAAGGTGGGATCAAACTTCTGAAGGGATCCAGAAAGATAAGGAAGTTTAAGATGCAGCAGGTGAAGGCACAGCCCATCGCCTCAGAAAGCTGAATGCTCTTGCAAATTTGATATAATCCAATTAGTCAATTTCCTCGGTGACATTTCTGCAGGCTCATGTACAGAAGGACGGGGAAACAGATTTATAATGATAGCTATTTCTAGCAAAGGTCATTTCTTTCCTGGTGAACAACCTGTCCTTAGTCATTCTGATGAAGAGGTGATGAAGGAGGAGGGAGAGGCTGCACAGCTTTAGAGATTAACAGGGAATAACATATGCAGAGCATAGCTAATCTTTGTACGTGGACCAGGAGGCTTAAAATCTTCCACCATCAGGACGAAGTCAGGGAATGAGAATCAAAATTGTGGGGAAAGTAGCAAAGGGGATTTTTGTAGAGTTTGTGAAAGAGGCTGGATATTGTAGCGTCAGCAGAAGGAAAGGAAAAGGGAACCACAGAGCACGAGCGTGTATTTTTGGATAGCAAGAGCGTCCTTGGTGCTTGTAAGAACCAGGTCAGGCTGCTCTGGGGACTCCCTGATCACCCCAGCAGCATCCCAGCCTGAGCAGCGCTCAGCAGCCCACGCTGTGCCATTTCCAGGTGACGGTGAGGAGGACAGGCACAAACACACGCAAACACACGCATACACCTCCACAGCTTTCTTCAGGCGAAGAACAGTTTTGACAGGAATATTGTTCACAGAGATCTCACTGTGGATACGACGTATCTTTAATTAATAAAAAAGCATCTACCTATTCGTCATAGTGCTATTTTCCTGCTTGCAACAGGGCAGGCAGCACCGCCGTTCGCTGCGTGCTTCTGCAGCCTGGCGTTAACTCGAAGCTGAAATGGACACGTTAATAAATAATGAGGGCAGAAACACGAGTCACCGGGCAACCAGCAGCCCTCGCTGGGATGGAGGAAAATAACCTGGAGGCGCTGCGCGCCTGGCCTCATTTCCCAAATCCTGAGCAGCTGGTCGACATTTAAAAAAAAAAAAAAAAAAAGTCACGTCAGCATTTAGCATGCTGGAATTACTGTGCGTGCGGAACCGGGCAGGAAATCTTGCACTCGTGTACAAAGCCGCCGAGGTGCGAGGAGAGCAGAGCAGCAGCCACGCCTGCCAGGAGAGCACGCCTGACGGGACGGCCCGGCCCGTGGGCGCCGCAGCCCGCCCGCGCGCCGCCACGCCCCCTCCGTGACAGCCCGCCGTTCCCGCCGCGCCCACCTGGCTGCTTTAGGAAGCGCCTCCGCCAATCGCCGCGCGTTCTCGCGCTGACGGGCGGCCCAGCTCGCCTATGAATGGCCTTTCCTACCGCGCGACCCCTCCTCCTCGGGCACCGAAGCCAATGGGAAAGAGATTGACGGGAGGGGGAGCTCAGGAGAGCAGGCTCGCGAGCACCGTCTCCCCTCACAGCTTCGCTCTCCCCGTTGCGCGAGGATCGCCCCTCCGGCCCGCAGGTGATCGACGCGGAGCGGCGGCCAATGGTTCGCGCGGAGCGCGCGGCTCAGCCAATGGACGGTGGGGGCGGGCCGCGCCCGGCCGAGGGGCGGCGGGCCGGGCCGGGCCGGGCCGGGCCGAGGCGAGACGCGGC